GCAGTACAAGGCTTTCCATTCTTATTCGAGCAATCTGATGCTCCACAAAATACAGCCCAAATGTCCTCCATCTCCTCCTCCAATTTCTAAGCCCTGAAATGAAATTTCAGTCCAAAGATTTAAACTTTAATTAGTACTCAATAAATCCATGCAATGGGCAAATTCAACATTTCAACTCCTGGTATCACGAATGTATTAACTTGATCAGACTAGTGAAGGAGCATTCTAGTGGGGGGGAAACAGGAAAAAAGGAGTGGAAAAAAAAGTGCAAGATAAAGAATTATTGCAATTCACAACTTTAGGATCAATTATTGCAAAAAGTAAGATGAAAACAGCAGCCAAAAAGGTCCCAAAAAAATGCCAAAAAGAACTTGATGTACCTTAATATGTTATTTACAACATAAATGTGATCACAGATAAAGATTTAGATAATCACTACTATACATCCACAGTCCACACCACTCAACTGCTTTCATGCTAGACAGTGAGACAACACAAAATAAAACTGAAAGCAAGAGCGGTTCCAAGAGAACAGGAAGCGGTTAATTGGTGCTTATACAACAATGTATTGTCACTTCATATCGAGCAGCGAGAATCTACTCAGCATAATATGATAATAAATTCAGATGCGAGATCCAACAAAACATTTAAACAACAGTAATAACACCGAACCAAAGACCCCCCCAAAAAAATAGAGAATATAAACTGGCCAACAGCTTAAATGTAGGAAGTGAAAAAACAAATATGCTGCGTGCGCATAGGATGCCCAGTAATGTCAGAGAGTTATAAATTTGAAAACATTAAACAGGAGGACTAACCAGAAGAGCAGAATGTGGACGACAAAAAGGCCGCGAGTTTCGGAAATTATCACCAATTTAATCCTTAAATAAAACAGAGAATTAAGTTCATACTGAATAAATTTGTAATTTCATTCATGTTAGGCAAAGCGGCAGACAAACAGTATAGTATTATAAAATTCGGCGTGTATAGTTGCCAATTAATGTCTTAGGGAAGTATGTATAATTTGATGGCTATGGGTTTGTTCTTGTTATATAGTACTCCTATTAATGTGAGATAGGGTGATCAGAGGCGGAGTTGCATTTGTATAGCGTCAGCGCTCACGTATCTGCTGTCTAACAAATGTTGTTGTCTTTTCCCTCTCACTATTTTTTCTCCACTCCGGCCTCTAGGCGCTCTCTCTCTCTATATATATATATATATATATGGTGAAACTAGCATGTATTAGCCAGTTCTCGGATTGTTAATTGAAAAATAATTGTTATTTATGAAGTTGTTATTTTATGCGGATATAAAATCTGTGCAAAAATACTCTAGTTGAAACACGAAAAGTTTTATCATTATATGTTGGATTGTGGAGCTCCTGCGTTTAAACTCCCAGTATATATTATTGAAACTGCAGTACAACATATTATGTTCGAATCTCATATATAAAAAATTTGAACTCCAGTAAATTACACTGGACCATAATCCCGTGCCCCTCCTTAAAGGATCCCAACTCATCACCCTGGAATTTTTCTGAATTTTAAGAATTTTTTCTTTAGATTTTATTTTACATTAGAAAATAACTAAAAGTCAATTACTTTTAAAATTGTGGGTAATTTTGAATTGGCGGTCGTAAATCAGACATTTCTAATTTCCCCCATGTATGCCTCAATTTGATTGACTATTAGATGCTAATGCCCCTCAACACTGACACTTTTCTCGTTATTTGCTTCTTCTTTTCTCCTTTAAGAGTTTAAAACTTTTTTAGCATACAAAATATTTATGTGGTTGGATTACTTATAACATAATTACTTTTAATGATAAATATTAGTTATTGGTAATATAATAACAATGATAACTGATATGTTATCATAATGACATCCCAATTTTGTAGTAATTTATACTCGATGGAATATATTAATGACTTTAACATAAAAGTTCAAATTGTTGTCCAATTCTGAAATGGATTTAATTCATGCACTTGTACACAAAAGTTTTTTCACGACAACATGATGCTTAAAAGTTAATGAAATAAAATATACTTTAGAACCTACTGAAATTTTCACAAAAGTTAGATTTACTTTTTTTTTTTCCATGGAAGAAGGGGGACGTGCTTGGTTTTTCTTGAAAGGTAGGAATAACACCGAGTTATATAGGGTGTAAATACTAAAATAAGACATTCCAAACGTGTAGTATGATATTCTCAATTAATATTATGTCACGACCCCAAATACCAGTCATGATGACGCTTATCACATTACTAGGCAAGTCAACCCAAACATCTAATCACAATCCTTTTTTTTATAATAAGACATTTTCTAACACAGGTTTTAAATACCAAATTTTCATTATAAGCGTTTAAAACAACAAAATATATATGCGGGAGTCAAATAAACATGAAACTACACAGCCCTAAATATCTGGTGTCACGAGTCTAGAGCCTCTACTACATAACTAACTGTCTGATACAACATAAGTCTAGAAAATGCGGAAAAGAACAAGATAAGAAGGAGAAAACAGGGCTGCAGACGCAATGCAACTACCTTGAAATCTCCGGCAACCTCTGAATCAGCTGAGGACCCTCACTCTGCCACTCTGGCACCTGGATCTGCACACAAGGTGCAGGGAGTAACATGAGTATGCCAACTCAATAACTAAAGTAAATAAGGTCTGAAAGCAGTGACGATCAGTTAAAATTCATATGAATGAATAGACAACAGAATAACAGATTAGAGCCTCTACTACATAACTAACTGTCTGATACAACATAAGTCTAGAAAATGCGGAAAAGAACAAGATAAGAAGGAGAAAACAGGGCTGCAGACGCAATGCAACTACCTTGAAATCTCCGGCAACCTCTGAATCAGCTGAGGACCCTCACTCTGCCACTCTGGCACCTGGATCTGCACACAAGGTGCAGGGAGTAACATGAGTATGCCAACTCAATAACTAAAGTAAATAAGGTCTGAAAGCAGTGACGATCAGTTAAAATTCATATGAATGAATAGACAACAGAATAACAGATTAGAGCCTCTACTACATAACTAACTGTCTGATACAACATAAGTCTAGAAAATGCGGAAAAGGACAAGATAAGAAGGAGAAAACAGGACTGCGGACGCCATGCAGCTACCTTGAAATCTCCGGCAACCTCTGAATCAGCTGAGGACCCTCACTCTGCCACTCGGACACCTGGATCTGCACACAAGGTGCAGGGAGTAACATGAGTATGCCAACTCAGTAACTAAAGTAAACAAGGTCTGAATAACAGATCAAATTCCATAGTTTAAAACCAGTTTCGTCGAAAATCATCAATTTTAGTTTAAATACTTGAAATCATATACTTAGCAATTTCTTACCACAGAGGCTTATTTTAAAAGAAGAGTGAAATCAGTTAAAATATCATAACTAGGCCCCTCGGGCAAGGTATCACTCAGAATATGGCCCCTCGGGCAGCCTCTCAGTCACTCGTCACTCAATACTCACTCTCAGCACTCAGGCTCATTAATATCTCATAGTAATAGAGATCATAGTAACCGCTGAGGTGTGCAGCTCGATCCATAATTTATAGTCGACTACGCTCACTGGGTGTACAGACTCCGGAAGGGCTCCTACAGCCCAAGCGTCATATCGCTACGACGTGCAGCCCGATCCAATATATATATATCGCTACGGCGTGCAGCCCGATCCAATATATATATCGCTGCGGCGTGCAACCCGATCCATATAAGTATCGCTGCGACGTGTAGCCCGATCCATAATATATACATATAATATCCTCACTATTAGGTTCTCAACCTCTTTCAGTCATTAACCTCACAGCCTCTCGGGCACAACAATAGAACTTAGGGAACTCAACCCAAACAGTCCTCACAATTAGAAGTGGAGTGATAAACCCAGTTTTAAACATTTAAATAGGTAAAACATGACTGAGGATATGATTTCAACAAATAAAGTGAGGAAAACAGTAAAAATGCCCCTAAGGGTATCAACAGGTCGGCACAAGGCCCCAAACATGTCATATAACCCATAATAAAGTATAAATGACTAATGTACGAAATATCATAAGGTTCCAAATCAAATACGCGGCTCAATAGTCGCTACGGGACGGACCAAGTCACAATCCCTATCGGTGCATACCCACACACTCGTCACCTAGCATGTGTGTCACCGCATTTATCAAAACAAGTCAAATAACGTGGTTTTGTACCCTCAGTTCCAGATTTACAATGGTTACTTACCTCAAACCGGTAAAAATACTACTCCGCGATGCCTTTGCCCCTCAAATCGGCCTCCACTCGCATCGAGTCTATCCAAAAATCAGAATTACGACGTCAAAATATGCTAAGAGAACGAAGCCCAAACGAAAATAATCAAATTATACCAAAAATCCCGAAATTGGCCAAACCCGACCCTCAGGCCCACGTCTCGAAACTCGATAAAAATTACATCAACGGAATCCTTATCCTCCCACGAGTCCATACATACCAAGAACACTGAAATCGGAGTCCGAATGGCCCCTCAAATTCTCATTCTAAATTCTCTTAATCTCAAGCCCTAAGTCCTCAATTTTAGGCTTACATTCCATGATTTATTAGGTAGATTTCACATTAGAATCGAGTTTTAAGTCCAAAATTCTTACCTCCAAGTGGTTCCCCTTGAAGCTGTCACACCCCAACCTTGGGAGGTGTGGCTGGCACCCGATGCCCGAAGGCCCGAGCGAACCAACCATGAGATATGATCTGAAATATAATAACCTGCAGGCAGAAGAGCCCAACACGACATATATATATATATATAACCTAGGCCAACAAAGCTGTAACAACAGTATAACAACTATCCAGGAGGCCGATAGGGCCATACAAAAAATATATATATACAATGACCGCTAGTCTGAGCCTCTAAGAGTGTAAGACAATCTCAACAGGGCGGGACAAAGCCCCTGACATGCCAAAAACCACACATATACATCTGTAATAGTACCTATGGACTCAAAGTCAGCAACTCCGAAGAAGTGGAGTGCGAAACCCAACGCTGATCCTGGGGGTCCTACCGAGGAGGCACGCCGCTCTGTCTATCCGAACCTGTAGGCATGAACACAACGCATAAAAATGCATCAGTACGAAATATGTACTGAATATGTAGGGCGACAAGTGTAACATGAAAAATGTAATTAACAAGAGAAAAGATATAGAGACAATTTGAATTCTGAAACTAGCCTCGGTAGGAAACTAAAATTCAACATGGATATAAAACCACCAAATTTTACTTTACTACATATCCTCATCGACAAGATTCCATCCATGTCTTCACAGATCCAAACAACACAATAAAACCATATAGAACAACCCCAACAATCAAGCCATATTAAGAGAGGTTTCTTAAAAAAATCAAGAACATTTCTATAGAGGTTTCAACTATTTCTTAGGAATTCTTATGGTAGATGGTTACAAAGATCAAAGAGGAAGTTAAATCATACCTTATGTGACCAGAATTACTCAAAATTCGAAATTATTTCAAGGCGGAGTCTTGCTATGAAAAGTGAAACACCAAAGAATTCACGATTCCGAAGTTACCATGGTGTTCTCCATCTTGAGGATGACTAAATTGTTGCTATCATTGGCTAGATGGATGGGAAGAGTTTGAGAAGAAATCCCTAGGTGTTAGGTTCTATTTTGGAGAGGATAAAACGCAGGGGTTTCAGTTTTAAAGAATGACTTAAATAATTTTTTTTAACTAAACCCGACTAAGCACACTGTTCCCGTAACAGTGTGCACCCCTGTACGAAAAGGTTAATATCTCTCTACTCCGAAGTTGTATTAACGAATGGTTTGTTGCATTGAAAACTAGACTCATAGACCTTCGATTCGATAGGTAGAACACACCATAACTCCCAGTACATTGAGAGAAAAGCTCATCAACATTTTATCTAAATTCTAGTGAAATTTAAACCCGTAACTTGCGGCGATCTTTGTCGAATTTTTAATCACAACTCAAATGACTTCCAATCTTAACGTATAACTATCGCATCATTTAAATATCTCATAGAAATTATATTCCTATTGAATTAGCCCATTTACAGCATGATAACGCCGAATACACAAGGTGTAACATTCTCCTCTCCTTAAGAACATTCGTCCTCGAATGTTAACGGTTAACCTAACTTCTGAATTTTTTTTTAAATTTCGCCAGAGTTTTCCCTATATATAGGACTATCCAAAACCTGTCAACAGCCCAAACATACATATCTAAGGCCACACAGGGCTACACATCATCATAATAACATCAACTTGGCCTCACACGACCATTTACTTATACAATAATGATAATAAGAAGGTTAGCCGTAACTTAATTACCTCAGTTGTCACTGGTTGATATCTGTGCAACACTTGCCATATTTGTCTCAAGCATATCACCTGAAGACTCAATAAATGAGGGTATCTGGACTTCATGTCCTCTTCGGCCTCCCATGTCATTTCCTCTACATTATTGCTCCTCCAAAGTACTTTTACTGAGGCTACCTCTTTAGTCCGTAGCTTACGGATTTGACGGTCAAGAATGGCAACGGGTATTTCTTCATATGACAAGTTCTCGGAAACTTCAATATCCTCAATAGGGCTGATGCAAGAAGGATCACCTAAGAATTTGCGGAGCATGAAAATGTGAAATACCGGATGGATTGTTTCTAATTCCGGTGGCAGGTCAAGTTTGTAGGCTACTCGCCCAATTCTCTGAACAATCTGATATGGCCCGACATATCTAGGGCTAAGTTTTCCCTTCTTGCCAAATCTCATTACACCCTTCATAGGCGACACTTTCAAGAATACCCAGTCTCCCACAGCAAATTCCAAGTCTCGACGACGGTTATCTGAATATGATTTCTGTCGATTTTGAGCTGTATGCAACCTTTCCTGGATCAACTTTACCTTTTCTACAGCTTGCTGTACCAATTCAGGTCCTAGCAACTTTGTCTCGCCAACATCAAACCAGCCAATAGGAGATCTGCATTTCCTCCCATATAGTGCCTCATAAGGTGCCATCTGAATACCGGCGTGATAACTGTTATTGTAGGCAAACTCAATAAGCGGTAAATGATCTTCCCAACTTCCCTTGAAGTCTAAGACAAAAGCTCGCAACATATCTTTTAGTGTCTGAATAGTGCATTCGGCTTGTCCGTCGGTCTGCGGATGAAATGTTGTACTAAGGTTAACAAGAGTACCCAAACCTTCTTGAAAAGACCTCCAGAAATTAGCTGTAAATTGGGCACCTCTGTCAGATATAATAGAAAACGGAACTCCATGTAGCCGAACTATTTCCTTGATATACAGGCTCGCATAGTCTTCAGCTGAATAGGTGGTCCGAACTGGGAGAAAGTGAGCTGATTTCGTCAGCCTATCCACAATGACCCAAATAGAATTGAACTTACGGCGAGAATTGGGCAATCCTGTAATAAAATCCATATTAATCGATTCCTATTTCCAAGATGGAATCTCAATATTTTGAAGTAGCCCTCCAGGTTTCTAGTGTTCAGCTTTAATCTGCTGGCAGTTGGGACACTGAGCCACAAATGTGGCTATATCTTTCTTCATGCCGTTCTACCAGTATAGCTGACGAAGATCATGATACATTTTGGTTGAACCAGGATGAACTGAGTACCGAGACTGGTGCATCTCTGTCATAATTTGCTTACGAAGCTCCCCAACATTAGGTACACACCATCGGCCTTTATATTTTAGAATTTAATTATCAGATTGCTCGAACAACTGCTTCTTCTGAAAAGGGATGCTCTCTTTAATCTTGACTAGCTCCGGATCCTCAAATTGACGCATTTCTACCTCAGCTACCAGTGATGACCCCGCAATATTTTGGACTACTACACCCTGGTCACCTGTATCATGTAGCCGCACACTCAGGTTAGCCAATCGATATATCTCCTTAGTAATTTCTAATTTCCCAACTTCTACATGCTTCAAGCTGCCCATGGATTTGCGACTCAACGCATCAGCTACCACATTGGCTTTGCCCGGATGGTACAAAATATCTATATCATAGTCCTTTAGCAATTCAAGCCATCTCCTTTATCTCAAGTTCAAGTCTTTCTGCTTAAATATATATTGTAAACTTTGTGATCTGTATAGATATCCACATGAACACCATAAATATAATGACGCCATATTTTCAAGGCAAATATAACGGCTGCTAACTCAATATCGTGAGTCGGATAATTGTAGTCGTGCTTCCGCAACTGCCTCGAAGCATATGCAATAACTTTTCCATGTTACATTAGAACACATCCCAATCCCACCCTGGATGCATCACAATATACCATATAACCTTCAGATCCCTCAGGAAGTGCTAGAACAGGTGTCGATGTTAAGCGTTTCTTCAACTCATGAAAGCTCCTTTCACATGCATCAGACCATTGGAACTTAACGGCTTTGTGTGTCAATTTTGTCATGGGAGCAGCAATAGAAGAGAAGTTCTCAACAAATCTCCGATAATAACCAGCTAAGCCCAAGAAATTATGAACTTCCGTAGGAGTTGTGGATCTAGGCCAATTTTGTACTGCTTCAATTTTCTGACCATCTACCTTAATACCTTCATCGGAAACGATATGCCCAAGGAAAGCCACTGAATTCAACCAAAATTCACATTTAGAGAATTTAGCATATAATTTCTGATTTTTCAAAGTCTGCAACACCACGTGCAAATGATCCTCATGTTTTGCTTCTGATCGAGAATATACCAACATATCATCAATGAAAACAATTACAAATATATCTAGAAATGGCTTGAAAACCCGATTCATTAAATCCATGAAAGCTGCTGGTGCATTAGTAAGACCAAAAGGCATCACAAGGAATTCATAATGGCCATATCTATTCCGGAAAGCCGTTTTCGGAATATCTCTCTCCTTAACTCGCAACTGGTGATAGCCAGATCGAAGGTCAATCTTTGAGAAATATTTGGCACCTTGCAACTGATCAAACAAATCATCAATTCTGGATAAGGGGTACTTGTTCTTGATAGTCACTTTGTTGAGCTAACGATAGTCAATACACATTCTTAACGAACCATCCTTCTTACGAACAAACAACACTGGTGCACCCCAGGGAGATGTGTTGGGCCTGATAAAGCCCTTATTCAGAAGATCCTTCAACTGGGCTTTCAATTCTTTTAACTCAGCAGGAGCCATTCTGTATGGAGGAATAGATATTGGTTGAGTATCTGGAAGCATATCAATAGCAAAGTCGATTTCTCTTTCTGGAGGAAGACCAGGAAGTTCATCAGGAAATACATCGGGAAATTCATTCACGACGGGAACCAATTGAAGAGTTGGAGTTTTCACCTCCATATCATGCACTCGTACCGAATGATAGATGTACCCTTTCAAAATCATCCTTCGAGCTTTAAGGTAAGAAATAAACTTTCCCTTAGGCGCTGCAACATCACCTTTCCATTCAATAATAGGCTCACCTGGAAAATTAAAACGAACAATCTTTGTCCAGCAATCTACATTGGCATAACAAGAAGCCAACCAATCTATACCCATAATGATATCAAAATCAACCATTTCTAGCTTATGCAAATCAGCTAACGTATGGCGGTCATGAATCTTCACGTCACAACTTCGATATACCCGTCTAACTATAATAGACTCACCCATTGGCGTAGATACCTCAAATGACTTATGCAACAATTCAGGCTCTCTATCCCATTTACTAGCAACAAAGGGGGAGATATACGACAATGTAGAACTAGGATCTATCAAGGCATACATATCGATAGAAAAGATGGATAGTATACCTGTAACCACGTCCGGAGATGACTCTAAATCCTGACGACTCGATAAAGCATATATGCGATTCTGCTGACCTCCTGAACCAGAAACGCCAAATCTTCCCCTACCCCTGCCAGCTGATGTCTGCATACTCTGCCTAGGAGGACGTATCGAAGAAGAAGAAGAATCCCCTACAAATGCTGTCGGCTGAGCCATACCCCCTCCACCTGTCATCGGATAATGTCTCATAATATGACCTGGCTGTGCACATGCATAACATGCATCAGAACCCTGGCGACATGGTCCAAAATGATTTCGGCCACATCGATCACATCTAGGAAACTGAGGCCTCATATGACTGAACTCACCTCTAAACTGTGGACTTGGGGTACGTGAACTCTGACCTGGACCAGAATAAGTGGTCCGATCATGTCGCTGTCCCTGAAACTGTGGCGGCACACTAGCTACCGAATAAGATTGATGCCGGGGAAACTGTGGCCTAAATCCACCTCGAAACTCTCATGTGTTACCTGCGAACCGCACCCTCTTCTACTGACCTCTATCATGGTCTCGATTGGCTCGTTGTTGCCTCTTGCGATCCTCTAGACCCTGTGCATATGCTTGAATATGGGCAATATCCATTCCTTGGTTTAGAGAAGCTGTAGTGCACTCATTTATCAAATGTGCCCCCAAACCACTAACAAACTAGTGTACCCGATCACTCATATCAGCAACAATCGTAGGAGCATACCTAGCCAAAGATTTGAATTGCATGCTATATTCCCGAACGCTTATATTACCCTGTTCTAAGTGTAAGAACCTATCTCGTCGGGCTCTTCGAAGCTCGATTGGCAAATATTGCTGTAAAAATGCCTCATATAACTCCTTCCATGTCACTGGTGGCACATTAGGCCCCCGAGTCTGCTTCCAAGTCTCATACCATGTCACAACAACATCACGTAGTCGATAGGAAGTAAACTCTACTGACTCAATATCCGTGGCATGTATAATTTGTAAGGTCTGTTGCATAAGATCCAGAAAATCCTGTGGGTAAGCATTAGGATCAACCCCTGTAAATACTGGAGAATCCAAGTTGATAAAGTCCCGAACTCTCGCACTCACGGACCTATCAGCAATACCGAGGGTCTGGTGTTGGGCCTGGGAGGCCACTATTCGAGTCAGCAATTGTACAGCACTCCGCATGTCTAGGTCCTGATCAGGAACAACTGGGAGAGGGACTGGAGGTATGTTAGCTCCTCTACGCCCTTCCGGCAGTGGTGGGGGTGCTGCCTCGGAAGCCTGAGAATCAGCCTCATTCTGTGGCTCATGTTGATCTACATTAGCAGGTGGAACCTGACTTGTGCCCTCTCCCGCCTCCTCATCCAACCTTTGAATAAATTTCATAGCCACTTGTCGTCTCATAGTATTAGGCATCACTGAGAAGGTAAACAAAAAGAGAATTAGGAATGAACACTTATGATTAGGCTCTATTGCACGATCTAGATCAAGAAGAAAGTAATAATCCTAAATGCCCAATAGCCTCATGTTTATAAGTGTGGTGCACAACACACCATAAACAAGACTCTACTAGACACGGCTTGCAGACTCCCTAGGATTGACCTGCTCTGATACCAAGTTTGTCACACCCCAACCTTGGGAGGTGTGGCTGGCACCCGATGCCCGAAGGCCCGAGCGAACCAACCATGAGATATGATCTGAAATATAATAACCTGCAGGCAGAAAAGCCCAACACGACATATATATAAAACCTAGGCCAACAAGGCTGCAACAACAGTATAACAACTATCCAGGAGGCCGATAGGGCCATACAAAAAATATATATATACAATGATCGCTAGTTTGCAAGCCTCTAAGATTGTAAGACAATCTCAACAGGGCGGGACAAAGCCCCCGACATGCCCAAAACCACACATATACATCTGTAATAGTACCTATGGACTCAAAGTCAGCAATTCCGAAGAAGTGGAGTGCGAAACCCAACGCTGATCTTGGGGGTCCTACTGAGGAGGCACGCCGCTCTGTCTATCTGAACTTGTGTGCATTAACACAGCGCATAAAAATGCGTCAGTACGAAATATGTACTGAATATGTAGGGCGACAAGTGTAACATGAAAAATGTAATTAACAAGAGAAGAGATATAGAGACAATTTGAATTCTGAAACTAGCCTCAGTAGGAAACTAAAATTCAACATGGATTTAAATGTATGCTCGTGAAATCGTCGTTCACTATTTCTACTTATAATATATCACATTATATAATAATAAATCCCTCTGTGGGGCTATAATATCCATAACATACCCGGCCATAATAAAGGCTCGGTAGAATCATACCCGGCCACGTGAAGCTCGGTAATCCCAACTGATCAGTGGTTACACAATATGTGTCATACCCGGCCGTCTATAGTGTGGTTCAGTAATGAAAGTAAATACATACATATACTAAATCATGAATTATATAGGTGCAATGCGAAACCAACCTTAAAAGACGTATTCTAAGAAGAGTCAAAGTGGCCTACCATCATTATTCCTCGACTATCATGGTTGTTGCTAAAATATTTAATTTTTTTTACTACGAGCCAACAAGTACTAAGAACATGAGAGTTATGTATTATGAATACCTTTGAAGTAAGTGTTACTTATTCATGATTTATATGAAC